TTAAATATCTAATTCAATATAGATAAGTATTTATTTCTTATGCTTTGCTTTTAATTTTGGATTTAACTTCAGATATCTGAACCGAACCAATACAATCTAAATACGAACGATATATCGTTACTTATGGGTTTTAAGATGTGATACAAATTAGAATCAAAACACATGAATTATATCCAAACCCGTCTGTAATTACAAATTTACCAATATGAAATCTATGATGTGATATAAATTAGGACCAGAATTCAAAGTATCCAACCCTTATCTCAACGGATACCTGAACTCCCAAGCCTAATTAAAGTGTGCTTTATTTTTTGTTCAAAATATTTACATATTTGTTGGAATAACCCATTAAATTATACTCATAAGAATATTAAAAGAATATATATCTGTTTTTATCAAATTTTCATGATTTGATTTAATATATAATGATAATAATGTTTTCACATAATAGTTTTTCCTGCAATTTAAATGGGTTTTGTAAATTTTGATTAAATGTATTTTTTTATTCTTTTACCTACTAAAATGGGTAACGTGAGAAATTATAAGTTGGACTAAACAATCCGATAACCAAAAGATATCATTTGGATCGATTTGTTGCATTTGAATTAGAAAATAAAAATAAATTAGGTTTTTTTTGGTTTTGATTTGGTTATCAGATTATTTAGTCTAAAATGATCCAGAATATTTTACCAACGTAAGGTCAATCAAACCTTGGAGGATTTAAATGCGTCGATGATATTTGAGGAGTAAAAATGTTGCCTTGCTGTTGCATTAAAAAAAAATTAGAAAAATACAAAATTTAATAAAATCATAGCTTAAAAATATTTTAGTTGCAGAATCTTGTAAATATTATTGAAATAAAAAGACATTTAAAAATACCTTGTATTTTAATAGTATTGATTATTTGATCCATACTTTGAAGCGCGGGATTGTCTTTTGTTAATAAAACTATTAATTTATTTATTAGTTTATAATAGAAACTACAATAGACTGTTTTTAAAGAATATGATATTGTAAATATATGAAAAACGTAAAGATACTAAAAAGTTTTTGTTTTTTTAATAATAATTAAGTTATTTATTTGCCAAATCTTTAGCTTTTGATTTAGTGGTTTAGATTTTTTTGTTGTTTATTTTGAAAAACCTTTGAAAATCCTATAATTTGGTCGACTATATTGAATATTGGTTAAACCATTGAGGATTCTAAGTATCTGTATTTCTATATGTATAAGTTTATTGTCTTGATTAGTTTATATGCTTAAAAATATATAAAACAAATCGAAAAATTTAAAAGGATAGATATTTCACGATTTTGAACAATACAACATGTATGTTTTTTGGTGCTATTGTTTGTTACCAAAATATTGATTGGAATTGACGAATGGTAGATGCACTGATATTAACATTATGTATTGTTTTTTATTTTCATTTGCAGAATTCAATAAACGTTGAATCTTGGGTATTGATGGAACATTATTATAATATACAAATTGGATATTTACAGTCTTTTTTTTTCTTTGAAACACAAGATATTTACAGTCTAAAAAATGAGAATCAGTGTGTTATACTAATCGAAGATTCAACATAATAATACATTATGTTGAGATAGGAAGGCACAGTTAATTTAATGTAGGTGTTTTTAAAATAAAAATAAAAATTATGTTGTATAAATAAAAAGAAATAGATTTTGACCCGTGCATGTTTTTTCTCTTTGTGTTAGATTTTATTTATACAACTAAATTAATATATATATATATATATTTTTTTAAAAAATTTGGTGTTATATATTATGTAATAGTATAACATATTTTGTTCACTATTATTAATATATATTGCTTAAATTTATTTTTAAATATATTACATATTTTGTTAATAGTTGTTCACAAATTTAATATTTTAAATTAGTTTAGTATTTAAATAGACAATATCTTTTAATTTTATTTTTAAATCTTCGTAGTTTGCAGAAAATACTATATAAATTTCATTAAATATATCTCTAATTTAGTTTTATTATGCATGTTATTCTTTGTATCATTAAAATTTAATAATTTTCAGAATTATATTTGTAATAAATTATCTCACGAATTTTGTTTTTCAATATATCCAAACTTATTACACATATAAATAAAGTTTGTTTGTTTGTATTTTTAGCATTTTGAATTATAAGAGGCTGCAAAATTTAGTAACTAAAATATTTTCTAGTTAGGATAGGATACCCACATTTTTTCAAAAAAAAATCTACTGTAGTTCATATATTTGAAAATATTGATATTTAAAAAAAAAATACTTTTGTTTGCGTTCTTATGCTAGAACCGGTTTGATAGATTGTTGCAAAGGAAATTAATCTTAATCATAGAAAGATTAAACGAATTACTCTGTGTGCTACCAATTTGATACTATAATCCATTGGAAACGTTTTAACAAACCATGCTAAAACGGTTTGATAGATTGTTTCAATTACGAAATTAACTTCATAAAAAAGATTAAACCAATTATGCTGCATGCCACAAAATGGTACAATAATCTAAGATCATGGATTTATTAAAGAAAACTTTCCAGTACGATAAAATATGAGCACTATCAGTTATCATGTGTTCATAGTAGACTATGTGTGACTTATAGTTTGATAAATATGGACCAAGTCGAACGAACCATAATGGCGTGGTTAGCATACATTAGGAAATGGTTCAATAAAAAAAAATTTAGATATGGTTAATATTCTCCTATTTAAATAAAAGATTATGTTGACACAGATCTATAAATACTGTTAAAACAGAATCGGGTCAAAACCACTTTAATCGGGTAAACCCACTTTGATATAAAGCATAGATTAAAAGAAAATGTAGTGGCATTTGGTTGTAATTAATAGGGATGGGCGTTCGGGTATCCATTCGGGTTCGGTTCGGATCTATTCGGGTTTCGGATTTTCGGGTTCACAAATTTTAGCCCCATTCGGATATTTCTAAACTTCGGTTCGGGTTCGGTTCGGATCTTTGCGGGTTCGGTTCGGGTTCGGATAACCCATTTAAATTATTTTTAAAATTTTAAATTGATTATATACTTTAAATTTCTAAAAATCTATAAAATAAAATAATATTTTACAAATAATTAAATAACATAAGTCAAAATACCTAAAAGTAACATATAAATCAGTTTGATTTGAATATTTGGATTGTGAATCAATAATTTTTAAAAATATTTTTGATGTTTTGAGTGCACTTTAGCAATTTTAGACATGTATGTTTGACTATTTACATATATTTAGAAGTATTTTGAACAATTTTAAAGTATTTTATATATAGTGAATGTTTTTTATATACATTAAATCTAAAAATAATTAATATATATATAGGTATATAAATCTCTTTCGGATATATTCGGGTACCCGAAATACTTCGGGTCGGGTCGGGTTCGGTTTCGGTTCTTTAAATACCAAAATTTTAAACCCATTTGGATATTGAATCAATTTCGGTTCGGGTTCGATACTACTTTTTCGGATCGGATTCGGTTCGGTTCTTCGGATCCGGGTTTTTTGCCCAGCCCTAGTAATTAATATTAAAAACTAAGGGCACCTAAAAAAAGGGCCTTGTGTTTTAATAGTATAGATAAGAGAAAATTATACCCGCAAATTGGGTAAAATACCTAGTTCTAATTAAATATGATAATGATCAAAATTATTCTCTTCGTAATACATTCTTGACTTTTGTTGCCTCTCCTTCTGAGCTAATTTCTTTTGTCCCTCTAGAATATGAAGCTCATGGACTTCTGCTTTGAAGCCTCTCGAAAACTCAAGCGACCTCGTTTTCTTGGTACTGTGTTAGTTTTTTCTTACAAAAAAAAAAGTACAGAAGTAGTAAAACCCATAAGTAATTGCCCATAGACAATGAAACCCATTACAGTTTAGACCCAAAAAGAAGTTGTTGGGAGAGCAGAGAGCCTACTAGAGAAGCTCGATGATTCAGGCAGAAACGAGGGTGGGATCGCATGCCAGAAGCCAGAGTCGGGGTAGCTGTGACGATGTGGAAGGGCTGACCTTCGGGAAACTGTGAATTTGTCCTTCATCTGACGATTGAGATGACCATAAGTCCCAAGAGTATGAACAGTCAAAATTTGAAGTCCCTAAGAGGGGTCACGGGTCGGGCATCGATTCTGAACCACCAGCCAGACCAAGAAACAGTGTTTTGGGATAACTCCTTTAATCCAAACTGCTTTCGTGCATGACAGGTCAACACTCTCACCTCACAATTTTTGATATACTAGACCAAGACCAGTAGTGTATTTTGTGCTAACTAGGCCAATCAATTTCCCATTAGTAGTAGTCGGCAGCAATAGAGAACGTTAAGCCAAATAGGAACTCAAGAATGCTAACCTGATTGTCGGATCTTGCCGGTGGTACGTAGAAGGCAGTGACCATTATCATCATATAAGCTTGCTTCTTTTCGGATACCAGAGTCTAGTATTTCTTCTTCCCTCCCTCGCCAGTTCCATTATCCTTTTATCCGGATACCAGTTATCAGTGCCACTCTCTATCCTTAGTTTTATCCAGGTGGAACATTAACTCTCTCATCTTGGTTTGATTAGCTTATTAGTTTAGCCAAGAGTACTCTTTTTATTTGGTTTGATAGTCCAGAAGTTGCCAAGTATCCCCGAAAAGGTGAGTTTATAGTATTTCTTGGTTTACAAAGTTTATATTATAACTGGGATATATCTCATGACATCGTTCTTTCGTAAATCGGGCTACCTTTATTGCTATGTGATAATCATAAGAATGACCTTCTGTTCTGTGGTTTCAACTGAAAAAGGGCCCAAAATGTCAATGTGAATCAGATCAAAAGGTTCATCACAAATGTTATTATGAGATTGAAAAGGTAAATGTTGAGAAAACACAAGGAAGAAGGTTTCTATTGCGAATATAACTTCAACATAATAATAATAAAAAAAAGGAATAAAAACAGATGCAATGCAGAGCTTAGTAAAGAAGACTTTGGGTCCTAAATATGCTCAGTAACTTCTTCCCCAATATGTCCACTTCTTGGCTGGTTTTCCTGCTGCAAAGCACAGAGTGTCTTTGCTTAGTTCAGGCTGCTCAAAGGAAGCACATAGGGTCTTAGCTCCTGCTTCGTTTTCACCTTTAGTATTCTCTTTCACATCATTCTCCACCTCAACTTCATCACACCATGGAGCTAAAACTAGCTTCTTATTTCTCAGAGCTTCCTTAAACTCATCCCAAGTTTCAACCCTTTGAATCCTCTCTTCAAGCTTTCTCTTCGCCACAACATAGAGATCTCTCTGTATTTCTTCCATCAAGTGCTTAACTCTTTCAACCAAGCTTCCTCTCATCACATCCATTTTTACTCCAGTGTCACGCCTAACCATCCTCACCTGATTCTTTTCCAAATCTCTTGGACCGATTTCAATTCTCAAAGGAACACCTTTCATCTCCCAGTCTGCATACTTCCACCCACAAGCGTAGTTCTCTCGTTCATCTACTATAGCACGCACGGACTCCAACACCTTGCAAGATGGTTTTAACAGCTTGACACTCTTGAACAATCCTTTTGGTATCAGCACCTTTGAAAGAAACAGGGATCACAACGACTTGATAACGTGCCACTTTTGGAGGTAACACCAAGCCCTTGTCATCTCCATGTGTCATAGCCATCACTCCTATTGACCTCGTACTCAAACCCCACGAGTTCTGCCACACCTTTGGCTTTTCATTTTTTACTTTTATTACTTCTTTATCTTCAAAGGTGATTTCAAACATTTTTGCAAAGTTTTGTCCTAAACAATTTGACGTCGCAGCTTGTACACCACAACCGGTTTTTGGTATAAAAGCTTCAACGCTTGTGGTGTAAACCGCACCAGCAAACTTCTCCTTCTCGCTCTTCTGACCTTTTATTACAGGAACCGCGAGAAGCTCTTCATAGAGACGAGAGTAGATGTTTAAAACATCAAGAACCTCTTCATCAGCCTCTTTCTTGGTAGCAAAGGCACTGTGACCTTCCTGCCAATCGAACTCACGACCTCGTATCAGTGGTATAGGGTCGCTAACCTCCCATCTAACGACGTTGACCCATTGATTAACCTTCATTGGGAGATCACGGTGTGTCCTAATCTTGTTTTTGAAGTAAGGGTAGATGATGGTCTCACTAGTTGGACGTAGAGCATATGGTGTTGGGAGATCATGTTCGCCAGCTCTTGTAACCCAAGCAACCTCTGGCTTAAACCCTTCAATGTGGCCCTTCTCCTTCTCGAGAAAAATCACGTTTTATTAACATGGGGAATTTCTTTTCCTCCACGACACCCAACTTCTCCAGCTCTGCATCCATGTAAGTTCTTAGAAGGTTCCAGATCTTTGTTGCTGATGGCTCTAGGATGTAGAGCCCCTTTGTGTCGGAGAGGGTTATGAGTTCACCGAATCTACAGACCTGAGAATACCAGTTTGCAAAGTCTTCGTCTTTCTTTGCAGATATTCCCAGGCGGGTCTCTTCTTCATCTCTTTCTCTTTTCTTTCACCATAAACACAGACTTCGTCTTCTCCACGAAATTCTAGGATTTTGTCAACCACAGATGATTGCGTACTACTACCAGCTAAATCATCTTCCCCTGACTTCGACATGTTGTTCTTGAAAAAACTAAACTTTGTCAGTCAAAGATGCTCTATCTCTAAGAAAGAAGAAAACAATTATCTATCTATTTATGTATCTGTGGGAATTTTGCCAAAAAGAACAAAAAAATTAACATATTGTCCTCTTAGAATTATTTGATGGGTTCTTGTCCACTTAGAATAAATATTAATGTTAACCCCATTCTAACCTTCTAATTATATAATTAATATTTTTCTAAAAATAAATTAATTGAAAACAAAAACTTAATTGTTGAGAAATGATGGTTGGGACATATCCGGAAATGGACCAGACCACATCAGTCTCACTTCAGTCCAAGACCAGGCGACAAGCACCTTATCCTTATCCATACCAGGCGGCCAAGACTTGTCATTATCCTCCCTTGTATTTATCCATATGTTGTAGTTATCCTAATCATTATAGGATTAGGATAATCATCCCCTTT